AAAAAGTAGATGAAATGGGTAACAAAAAAAGAAAAAAAAAGAAATGATTGTCTTTCGTTAAAGTCTAAAGTTTTGGGTTTAAAGCTGAGGTGTCGCAACGTCCTAGAGGTCTCGACGTAAGTGGTACTCTATTGGTTACTTGACAATTGTTGAATTGTTGTGATTGGTCACCTCCTGTCCAAACCAAAACATGAGTACAGTTACTCGTGGAGAAAGTATTAGCACCATACGATGCCTATTTTATGAAGAGTGCCAACTAACAAAATGTTTTTTTATTAAGATAAACTAAATTTTGATTCCCGAAGATGTAAATAAAAATGTAGCTTTTATGAATTTTTTTAGTCATAGCATTAATAATTTGATTTTGATAAAATTAAAAAAAATTAATTTTAAAATGCATATAAATTAACCTAAACACATCTTATCTCCTAAAAAAAAAAACTAAACTAAATCATTCATCATTAAATAACTATTATTTATAAGGTTCTTCCACTACTCATGGTTGAACCTTTCATGATTCTTTTTAATTAATATTAATATATAGTCTCCCTCACTACTTATAGGGAGGCTCGGGAATTTTAATTTTTTAAAAATATTATAATTATTATTAAGAGATTTTATTGTTAGTTATTGCTATTATTGTTGTTTTTATTTTTATTGTGATAAGATGCATTTTATATATTTTAATAACTTTTTTTTAGCTTTGATTTTGTTGCTTATTTGAAGGGATAAGATCTGGTTTTTAATGGATTTTATACATAATTTTTGCTTTTAGTGCAGAAAAGAACTTAAATACATAATAATAGAAGTTCAAAAACTAAAGTGAATATCTTCTAAAGGTTAAGGGACTGTAATTTGAGAAGACAGATTGTAATTACTAATTAAGAACCTAAATGAATGAAGTTGAAGCTATAAGATCAAGGTACTCATTATGTAAAAGTTGGAGGATTAGACTATTATTTTACCATTAAAGCAAAAACCTTGACACGAGTTTGAAGTCGACACCACTTAGGAGGTGTCCATACTATGTGTTAAGTCTTTGGCAACTAAATGTCTGGTGAAACTCGTAGCGCAGCACAGGGACCAACAATTAAAACCTTTCCAGTACCCATGGTTGGATTCACAATCGCATTCTTGTATGCATAAGAGAGATACAGTTACAAGATAGTTTAAAAGAAGAGATCAGACGTATTTGAATCGGCATTTATAAATTGAATGTACATTATTTAATACTAATGTATGAAGTTGTTCTAAATTATAGGACTCAATTATAATTTTAAAGAAAGAAGGATCACTACTAGAATTAGGGGATTTTTTGGTCAAGGTGCTTGACCGAAAAAGTATGTTTTATGACCGAATACACAACATTTCGGTCAAGTTCATTGACCGAATTGTTCTTGACCGAATTGTTGGCCCGAATAGCCTCTGTAAGAGATAGTATTTCGGAGAAAATTTATCTTGACCAAAATATATCATTAATTCAGTTAATATAACTAACCGAAAAAGTGGTTGAAAAACTCATTAAATAAGTATTATATTCGGACAAATAATTTGACCGAACTAATCAATAATATTTTAATTAAATATTTCGGTCAGGTATCTTGACCGAAATAGATATGCAAATTTAAAAAAAATTATTTAATGAATTTTGAATGTATTTCGGTCAAGTAGATTGACCGAAATAGATGTCCAAATTTGAAAAAAAAAAATCAAATTATTTAATAAATTGTAATATACATAATAAATATTATAAAAAGACTTAATACTACAAAATTTTGATATTAATATTACGAATTATATACAATTGTTATTTATTTAATTTTTTGACCTTTTATGGTCTTTTAATTATGAGTATAATTATTTATTAGTAAATATGATTAAATTTGCATATATGGAGGAAAATAAAATAAATAAAAAATACTTGACATTTGAAAATAGAATCCTACAAAAATAGAATATAGAATCACAAATGAAATCATATTAATAAAAGCATGCAAAATAAATCAAAGAATAAGTATATGAGTATAAATAAGGTAATGAAGTTAATTACCTCCATAATGCTGCCCCATTCTTCACCAAATTAAGGAACCTTTAGATATAAAAACTAAAGAACATTAGTACAAACATTAGTAAAGAACATATATATAAGATAGTAGAAAGTAAAGAAACATTTACATGTGCAAATAGTTAAAGAACATGGAGGTAAAAGAGAAATGGTAAAGAAAGGAATTAGTAATATTAGTTTAGGAGAAAAAAAACTAAAGAATGTGAACAAACTTGAAGAAAAAAACTAAAGATGAGGATTGATCAACAAATAGTATAAAAAGAAAGATGAACAAATGAAGAAAAGTGTTGAAGTTGAAGAAGAAGAGAAGAAAGAAACAAAAGAGAAGCTTGAGAATTAATGAAAAGAGTGAGTTATAATATATATAAATGTAATGACTATTTCGGACAGTCATACTAATCGAAAGAAAAAGGCGAAATTTTCAAACACTTTTCGGCAAATAATTCAAAAGGTAGAGTGGGAAGATGAAATTAGTTCGGTCATACATTTTGACCGAATTGTATGTAGAGGGAAATTCAAAATTTTTGCCAAATTTTCTGGCAAAGATCAATGATGTTTTTTTTTTTTTTTTTTTTAAGCTTATTTCGGTCAAGCATTTTGACCAAAGTAATATGTATAAGGTTGTTGAAAATTTCCACCAAATTCTC